GGGGGGGCTCCTTGGCTGTGTCGCCGGTGTCTGGGGCTGAGGGTTGGAGCCTTTTTTATCTGGAGGGTTGGTGTTTTGTTTTGTTTGTTTGTTTGTTTGGGGTGTTTTTTGACAAAAACCAGCCCGATTTTTCAGGGTTAAATAAACACCGGTTTTCCCACCTCTTCCTCCTCTCTCTCTCCCCCTTTAGATATTTTGGTTTACCTTTGGCTTGTTTGTTTGCTAGTTTGATAAGATTGATAAAGAGCCTGGATGAGATTTTGGAAGCATCTGATGAAAGTGCCGGTCTGCCCCAGAGAGCATCACCTGTTAGCTCCGTGGGCTCGCAGGGCAGGCTGGCTCTGGTGTGCTCGGCAGTTTTGGAGAGGTTCCCCCCGGCTCCGCTTCAGAAACAGGAGGTTTGTTTGTAGAGAAGAGACTGCTCTCGAAGGGACGCTGCGCTCACAGTTTTGCTCAGCCTAGTCGTTAAAGTTAGAAACAAGCTCCACTGTGAAATCGTGCCAAGCCTCCTCTGACAGTTTGTATTCAAGCAAAGTTCCTCCCGTTGTCTAATAGTGATCAGGCATTAAAATAATAATATTGGAATGTCTTTAAAATGGAGATTTTTTTTTTCTTTTGAAACCGAGAAGACCAAATGCTTGACTTCTAGAAGGAGTTGTTTGGCCAAGAGGGTTCAATAGGAATCAAACCAGACACCAGTCTAATTAATTGTTGTATATAAGACTCCTTTTAATGTTCTTAATCCTCTTTTCTGACCAGAGAGGACTATTTTCTGGTTGGGGTACCCTTTCCCCTCCTCCAAGCACATAGATGGGGCTGGAGCCCCAGAGGTTGGCTCCGACGGGTGTCAGCAGTGGATGTGTTTACCAGATAATCGTGCCTTCAGCTCCCAGAGCTTTTGGTGGTCCTGGTGGGACCAGGGAGTGCTGGTTCTTTTTTTGGTGATTTATGGCAGGCCCTTATGCCCCAAGAGATCTGAGGGCATGCAGCACCGATCATCCCAGTTCTCAAGTTCATGAATTTGCTGTGCGCGGTCCTGTTGTCGCAGCTGTGTGTCTGCATTCACAGCTGGAGATGTTGCGGCCACCTCACCCAGTAGACAGGGATTGCTGGTTTCAAGGGTGATCCAGTCACCAGATGTTGCAGGGTATAGCAAACGTCTTTAAATGTTTGTTGTTTTTTCTCTCCCTCTCTCTCTCCCCTAGTGCTGTGTAAATCGGAAGTATCTGGTTTGTAAATCTGCAGATAGCTTCTGCTCCTGATGTGACTTGACTTTATTTTCAGAAAGCATTGATTGCTCTGCACAGAGGCCCCGAGAGCACTTGGCAGGTATTGAATGTGCTGTTACTGTTTCGGGACAGAAGGGCTTTGCCGTTCTCGTTTGTGAACCTTAGACCGCGTCCCTTTTAGGTATCGACAGCTGACTAGGACAAAGCCAGTTGAACTCATTCCTGTTAACCCAGGGCTCTTGTGCGTATGGGACACCACCATGGCCTCAGAGCTGTCCCTTAAACCCGGTGTGAGGCACCGTGGGATTCTTTGCAGGGAATTCAAGTCATCCCTGTCTGCATGAAGAGGAAAGGCTCTGCTTGCAGAGCTCGGTCCTCATTGCCATCCTCAAACGCTGTGTGCGGGACGGTGCCCAGCAGCATCATGTGGAGGGGACTGAGCTGAGGCTCATGTCCTAGCCTGTGTAGGGTAAGTGTAGGAGGGGTGGTAGAGCACATGTGTATGTTTCCATGCATTCCTCTGCACCCTTTCTCCTTCTCCTGTGTAGAAAGGAGGCGTATGGGCTCAAGCATTTCAGATGTGACCTTAGGTTTTAGTGACTTCTGGTTTTGGGGTGCCTGTGGAAGACGGTCGCTGTGGGAAGCACTGAAGCTAGCTCTTTGCTTCAAACCTGCGGCTTCATTTCTGAGGGTGGGACAGATAGGATCAGCACTTTTAAAGCTAATAATCCTCATAAAGATGCAAACAAACCTGATTTCTCCACTTAGGTAGTGAAGCTGTAAAATGACTTGAATAGTTGTCATTCTCAGATAGCATCGGTATTCAGCAGGGCCATTTCCCTGACTGTGCCTTTGGAAATGCCTCTCAATACATATGCAAATGCAGAGCTTATCAGGCCCCTTCTTTGACTGACAGCAAGAAGTCTGGGAGGGGAGCTTGCCTGGGACCAAGCGGCATTTGGGTTAAGCCTGTGGCAATGTGGAAGAGCAGGGCAGGTGAACGTGGAGAACCAACCCAAGAGCCAAGTGGGTAGTGGAGCTGTCATGGAGCGGCCCTGGCAGCGAGCATCCGTGTCTCCTGGTGCCGGCTCTGCCTTCTGTGCATGCAGCTTAGATCTCAGCCTTTTTATATTCTTTTCCTGATGATTTTTTTTCCCCTGGGATAAAACAGAAGGGAGGAAGAGGAGAAAGTGTGGCCTTTCATTTTTAGGTTGCAAACTTCCATCTGGTTTGCTGTTGTTTCACATCTTTAAAACAGTGGATAACTAACCGGTGGATAAAGCAGAAGCTGCCTGGCCAGCTCAACTGATACAGCAACGAACAGCCCTCGAGTACTTTCTTACAGAGGGGAGAGGGGGATCTCAAATGGATGCAGGGTAGGATTTAGCATCTGTAGTAAGAACACAGCAGAAGCCTTGGACGCCTGGTGGGGGCAAGGCATGGTGAGCTGTTTGCTAGAGCACTTTTGCATACAGAAAAGCTGGGAAGTCCTGAAATGTGCTGCCCTGCTAGGGGTATCAGTGGGGCTTCGTGTGGTGCTCTGCTTTTCTAGGTATTAAGCAGGATTGCTTCACTTGTTTAGTGCTTTTCTAAAGGAGTCAAGAGTATGGCAGCTGTTAAAACACTCCTAGGGAGGTAGCTTTTTAATGAAATCTTAGCGAGCAAAGGTGGATTAAATATTTCTCATTTTCTCTTCAGCAATCTTTTGAAAGTGAGTTGGTAAGCCAGAGCTTGATTTATTGGCCCCAGTGACGCACACCAGTGTGAGGTGATGAACTCTATTTTTGAAATGTGAATTCAGTACAAATAGTAGGAGTTTAAAAAACAAAAAACCAAACCAACCTGTGATCCACCTTCCCTTCATTTTTCTGAAGTCTGTTTACTCTCATAAACTGGCTTTTTTGGAAGCTGATACCTGGAACCTGATGATTAATTATCCACTCATGGAAGATAAGGTAATAAGTAAACTGATAGTGTGAAAACGGCTAATATTAGATCACACATGTAATCTTACGCAGCTCTGGATGTTCTGCTGAGAGCCAAGAGAAAGTCTGCTCAGTCTGAAAGTAAATGGTGTTTCCATTCTCCATGTGTGAGCTGGGACCTGGGCTGTGGGACAGGGGCACCTCCAAGCTACGTGATGGGAGCTGGCCACCTGCATCTGTGTTGAGTGATATGCCTCAGTTCCCATAAATCTACCCACAGATCCAGGGCAGAAATCCAGGCACAGTTGCTGTGTTGTGCTTGCAAGTGCTTTGGCTTTCCTTTGTATGCATGGCGGGAGTCTCTTTGTGCGTATGTAGTCTTTCTGCCTGTCCAGCTTTAGGCAGCCCCTTTGGAGCGATGGCCATTGCTACTGCCTGGTTCTTGCCAGAATAAAACTGAATAATTTAAAAAAAAAAAAAAAAAAAAAAAAAAAAGGCAGCCACATGGGTCATATTAACATGGCCTGGGGGAAGGAAAAAGCCTTCAGGTACCATAGGGTAAGTCCCAGGACTGTGAGGTATGTGGGAACATTGGGAGGAGTGACTCCCTGAGGCCAGGGCAAGGGCTTCCACTGGTTTTAGCCTTATCTAGATCTGACTGGGACAACTGTTTATCCATCTGCAAGCCTGGAGGCATACAGACTCACTAGCTGGTGATGTGCCTGGGACAAAATCCTGTGCATGCAGGCAAAGCTTTCAGGCTTTAGTTTTTCCCCCTCCATCAGCTGAATGTTGTTGTTAGAGCTTCTCCTTCACCTCCCACTGAAGCTGTTTGCTCTGGGTTCCCCAAATGGGCATTTGCTTTATTCCAGTTGGGTAAAATGTTAATGCATTTCTTTATCAATATGTACAGTTGGGTTTTTTTTTGTTTTTTGTTTTCTTTTTTTTTAATTATTAGAAGCATCAACACTTAAAAAGTGGTCAGAGAGGCCCAGAAGAAAGCCGTGGATGTGCAGATAGCCTTTAGTAGCAGAGCCATTAATCTGTGGCCTCTTGCTGTTGTCTGCTCCAACGGAAGAAGAATGGTCTCTCCGGGTGAGGGGGTGGGAAGATCTCTGCTTCTATTGATTCCCACTTGTGAATGTCCATGTATTTACCTAGAGGGTACGATATATTACAGTTAAAATGGTGGCAAAGAGAAATAGCTGTTCCCTGTGGGTTGGTATTGATTGGACATGCAGCTACCCTGTACTTATTTCTCCTCATCTTCACACACCCGTTAGGCCAAAGTCCTTTGTTTTTATTAGTGTATTTATAATCAATATACTTATTATTTACTGTGATGTATTAATGAGGCATTTGAGATGAGAAGATACAGGGGCAGAAGCAAAGGGTGAGGTTCATCCCATTTAATTTGAGATGCCTCCAATATAGACTTTAACATCTGCATCCCCTTGGGCTTCCTTTATTGGCCATGTGGAGAAAGGCACTTTGGTGTCATGATTTATGTCAACTATGTCTGCTTTAGAGGGAGAGGAGTTGTACGCTCATCGTGCTCTTTCTCTCTGCTGATGGGAAGGCAGTCTGGATGGCTGGTTCATATGCAACCATCTAAAGTCAGGTGAGATCACTCCTGTTCAAGGTGTTGTGGTGACCCTTGTCCACTCTTCCAGTGCAGCTGTGCTAACCCTGGTGAAAGAGGGGAAATTGCCTTTCTCAGTAGCAGTCAATGTCACGCCTTGCAGTCCCC